CCCCCCCCCCCCCACGCTCTGTCTCTCTCTCTCTCTCTCTCTCTCAAAAGTAAATAAACATTTAAAAACAAATTGAACATTGTCTTAGGTACATCCTAAATGCATCAAGGAGAACCCAGGAAATCAAAGTTGTTAACCCGAGCAAGGAAAACCACCATTGTTCTTTGGATTCAGGATCATTCCACCAGCCCTGCCTTAATATGTAGCCAAGAGCTCCCATAGGACTTGCAGTCTCTCCAGTGCCCCACTCCGGGGTGTATCTGATCCTGCAGGATGTGCATTGACTATGTTTTGCCACTGAGACTAGAACTGGGCTCAACAACTGAACTGCCTGTAAGGATCAGAGAGACAGAGTAAGTGAAGGCAGCAGCCAGATGCAAACTGGTGAGGTAGAGAATGTGTGCTGCCCTATCTAAAGGTAAGTCCACATTTCTCTACTTTTACAAAAGTCAGAAAGCTTGATTTTCATGTGAAACCTGTCAAGTGTTAGTAACTAATTACAAGTGCTCAAAACACTGTCGAGTCCAGGGCACCTGGGTGGCTCAGTCCGTTAAGCAGCCAACTCTTGATTTCGTCTCAGGTCATGATGTCACAGTTTGTGAATTCAAGCCCTGCTTAGGGCTCTGAGCTGATGGCAGAGAGCCTTCTTGGACTCTCTCTCCCTCTCTCTCTCTCTGCCCCACCCTGCTCATGCTTGCTGGCTCTCTCTCTCTCTCTCTCTCTCTCTCTGTCAAAAATAAATAAACATTTAGAAACAAAACAAAACATGGTTGAGGACAAACAAAACACACCTGAGGGTTACATTTGGCCTCTGGCCACCAATCTGCACCCTAGCACAGAGCTTCAGAGTACCTAAGAGGCCCTGTGATCCACTGAAAAGTAGGGCAATGCCCCAGCCCCACTAGGTTCCACTCTGTCACCTCCAGTCTTAAATGGTATTGCTTAGGGGTGCCTGGGTGGCTTAGTCAGTTAAGCATCTGACTTTGGCTCTGGTCATGATCTCACGGTTCGTGAGTTTGAGCCCCATGTCGGGCTCTGTGCTGACAGCTCAGAGCCTGGAGCCTGCTTCGGATTCTGTGTCTCCCTCTCTCTCTACCCCACCTCTGCTTGCATTCTGTCTCTCTCTCATAAATGAGTAAACATTAAAAAACAAAATGGTGTTACTTATATCCACTCCATCCAGTAAATAACTATGTTGAACTGTGTCCCCCAAAAAGTCACATTCAAGTCTTAACTCCTGGTACATGTGAATGTGTCCTTACTTGTAAACAGGATCTTTGCAGATGTGATCAAGTTAAAATAAGGTCATACGGGATTAGGGTGGGCCTTAAATGCCATGACTGGTGTCAGCCCTAGAATCACAGTGAAGAGTATAAATTTAGCCAAATTGCACAGTATTTATAAATGGTTAAAAAAATATGCCTTTTGATGAAGAGGGGTTAAAGATAAAATGGACAGAAAAAACATCTAAATTCATACTACAGTGAAGAGACCACATTTATTTAAAAAAAAAAAAAAAAAGATAAAATGGACAGAAATCTGGGTAGGTCTTCCAAGGGCTGCCCTGGTGATATTCAGAAGAAAAGAGAGGAAAAACAATATAAGTGTGTAGCACAACTCAAATCTGGAAGAAGTATCATTGAAGGCCAGTTAAGGAAGGTTCTACCTCATCTAGTCAAGCTACCTGGTTCTAGATTTCACTTTAGTTTTTAAAACTTAGTGTACTATACTAGTGTGTACTCCTTTATGTTTATAGTTTGTTTCTCTAGTTTGCTAGGAAAGTACTTTTGGAAAAAAATCCAACTTTGCTTAAATAAACTAAGAGGCAGAGAAATTAGTTCGCGCTACGTCAGACTGGCTAAGGATGAAAGAACAAGCCTTTCAGAAGCTGGACAGTTGCAGCTGGATGCCTGGGAAATGGCCTTGGGAATTGAAGTGGACGGCACAAGAATGGTCAGACAACTTTGTTCAGCTATGCCGGTGATCCCTCCTCAGCAGGGTTTTCCTCACGGTAGCAGAGACAACTGGGTGCTACATACATTCAGAAGAAGACAGACAAATTATGAAGAGCTGGAAAAAGCTAGGCGGAGGAGGCAGCATTTGAGCTAAGCCCCTGCGGGTGTGTAGGATTTGAATTGGAAAAAAGAGAATTTGGGTGAGGGAAACCAGGCAAGAGCATGTTTACGGATAGGGGCGAGCAGTGTATACACCAAAAAAAAGATCAGCTGCATATGGCTACATGGAAAAGAAGCCCTGAATGCTTAAATGTTTAAGGTATCCAGCGATTAATGATCCAGGATGTGAGCATTACGACATAAAATAGCTTGTGATGTTTCAAATGAAGAAACAGAGGGACAAAATGGATGGCCCAAGGCAGCATAAAAAACTGGTAGAAACAACCACAGCAACAATGGTACCTTTATATTCTGTGTTATTCCTGTTTTGGGTGATTGAAATTTATTTCACAAGAGAAAGTTAGGCATAAAAACTACTTGCTTTTAAAAATAAAGAGTAGCTGAAAAGATTGCATCCCAAAGAGATAAATTAATGTGAAAATTATGTAATTATTTTTCTTATACACAGAAATGTTTAAAACACAAAAAGCTGGGGCACGTGGGTGGCTCAGTCAGTTAAGCATTCAGCTTCAGCTCAAGTCATGATCTCACGGTTCATGAGTTCGAGCCCCGCATTGGGCTCTCTGCTGTCAGTGTAGAGCCTGCTTCAGATCCTCTGTCTCCTTCTTTCTGCCCTTCCTCCATTTGCGTGCTCTCTCTCTCTCAAAAAATAAATAAATATTTTAAAAATTAAAAAAAAAAAACACCCAAAAGCTAATTTTCACACAATTATCTATACTCATCTATTATAATAAGGCTCCCACTCTTGAGAATGATTCCTCAAATCCAATAATGGTAAATAAATAAGCCTAGAAAAGTGAGTCACTTAAGCAAGGTAACCCAGCGGCAGACCCTGGGGACTCCTGACTTGAAACCCACTGCATATTCCCTATCTCTCAGCCCACCTCATATTTCACAATATAGTGTGCTCTTCAGTGCTTAACTAACACTCTTCAGATACTGCACCTTTAGGACTTCAGTGTTGCACACCTTCATGTCAAAGAAATTTGGGTTTCATTTTATTGTGAGTCCCTGAAATTATAATGTCAAACGGCACAATTTCCTACAATATCCATATTCCATTGCAGTGTAAACAACAACCAAAAGCAATTTTCTCTGTATTTCAATTACCCTGGCATTTTTCTTTACATGTGCTTTTAAACACTAAACAGTGCTTTTTTATTTTTATTTTTTTAAAGGAAAGGAGAACTTCTATGAAAGAAACTAGATAAGAAAGACCGTCTTAATTAAGTTGGCAAACCTTTGAGAAGCTTCTCCAGTAGTTCCTTTGAGTATTTCAGGGCTCCCAGGTGCACAAGAACCTGAGGTAATCTATAGTCAGCAAACATGGTGATACTGGAGATGTCCTTAAAGCAGCCGTCTCCTTCTCCCTCTAACACACTCCACGTATCTGCCACGAGGATTTGGGCCCGTTTGTAGAAAGAAATTTTCTTCCCCTGATGAATGAAAAAGATATAAATGCTACCTGGGTATCTGAAAGCTTTATGCATGCTATAAAAAGAAAGGCACACATTGAAAACATTTTTCAAGGGTGCAATAATTTTACTGTTGGTGAGAATTTATAGACCTTGACTAGAAGAAAAAGGGAGTCTAATAAATATTAAATTATCTTTCACTCCAAATTTACTTCCTAGATTTTTCAAGGCACATAAAATATAATTGTGGTAATTGTGGTATTATTTAGTGTTCCTTTTCAATGACATTACTTCACATACATATTTCTGCACCACTCTAACCCACCTGCTTATTCTTTTTAATGGCTAGACAGTATTTATTTAGACAGTTTCTTAAATTTTTCTGATTAGAACATAATTCCCATTAATTGTGTAAAATACAGAAGAGTATAAAGAGGAAAACAATCATCCTTAAACTCACCTCTGAAGAGAATCACAACATTCATTTTTTTAACTATTATCTTTCAGATTAACTTACTTCAGAGATAAAGACATAACTGCTGAACAGCCAGAATTTATCAAGCCTACCTTTCTGGAAACAGTCAATATCAATTTGTAAACCCACAGAACAAAACTACCTTCCAATTATATTTACACAAGGAAGAAACAAATTTAGCCATGCATTATAGGATATCGGGTTATAATTTAACTAAAAAGTTCTCCATAAAAGTACAAATACAGATCAGCATAAACTATGGAAAAACACAGATAATTAGAATCTACTCCTAGTCCTAATACCAAAGGTAATAATCTCAAATCATCTTTTATAACTGCTTGTCTGCTAAAGGAAAATAATCAGTATTACTGGCTCCCAAAATTTGTCCTGACCACCTTGGAGAATGTGTTAAGTAAGAGAATGGAAGTAAGTAAAAAATGAAATTAAATTCTTCAAGGAAAGGCTCCATGTGAAAATTCCTTAGGATGATAATACAGATTCCTTTACTTACAAGCAAAACAAAACAAAACCAAAAAACACTTCCAATGATACTTTGTCCCAGTGAGAAATAACATTGCCTGACCTTAAGGTATACCCACTGCAATCAATCCAGACCTACTTTTACTAAGTAAATTGTTTAAGGCCACCTTTAAGAAATTCAGTATTTTGTTTTCCAGGGCAAACACATATGCTCATTTTCTGACATGATGTAAAGTCTGTAAATTAAATTGAATGCTGCGGGGGGGGGGGGGGGGGGGGGGGGAGTGGAACAAATCACCATTAAGAAGTATCCCTACATAGTTTGGGAATAACATTCCCAAACCTATCAAAATATGACAGGCTGGCAATTGTTGGACTGGACTTACATTTGGGAACTAGGTTTATATTCAAGTCTAGTATATTGACGAGCAAGACATAAAAGTTAATATACAAAACAAAATTGTGGGGGCACCTGGGTGGTTCAGTCGGTTAAGCGTCTGACTCTTGATTTTATCTCAGGTCACGATTTCAGTTTATGAGATCTAACCCTGTGTCAGGGTCTGCGCCGACAGTGCAGAGCCTGCTTGGGATTCTGACTCTCACTCTCTGCCCCTCCCTCACTCGCACACGTGCTCTTTCTCAAATTAAGTAAAAAACATTAACATTTTTTTAAAAAACAAAATAGAAGAAAACCCAGAATAAAATTGGATATCAGACACAATTAATACATCATGCTTTCTGTAATAGATAAAAGCTATTGTCTCCTGTTTTTAACAAGATTCACAGATCAAACTAGAAAAATATAAGAACCAGACTTATGTAACAAAATCAGTGCTAGCATGGAACAAAACATAAATTGTCACATCATGACCACTGTTGCCATGGTAGCCAACTAGGATATCACAAAGATTAGATTATAATACCTTAAAATAAAAAAACAAAACAAAAGATTCAAGTGAGGAATCTAAAAACAAATTCAAGTCATCAATAAAACATTTTCTTAACAAGCTGATACGGTTTGAGTAATCAAATGATTTTAGTAATCAGAGTCTTCATGTCTAAAATATTAATTGATCTCACTGAAAATACCAGCAAATCCAAAATGACAATTCTCTATGTGTTCTATAATATTTCTTTGTGAATATTTTCAAAATAGTAACTTCATAAAAAATTATCAATGAAAAAAATCCATGACCATGAGTTGATTTTCTTCAACAAATTTATCATGAACAAATTAGAAAGGTCAAAAATTACAAATGTTTAAAAGAAACATAAAATGTTATTGATTAAAGTATCAAAAAAGTTCTTGTTTTCATGTATGTTTATCAGTATGTCAGAGTAAAGACTATCACCTAAGGAAAGCAATTTATTAGGACTTTTAACATGGTTACCAAATAATCTAATTCAGAGCTGCTTCGGAAGTACATATACAGTATCTGAATTCTAAAGCTTCTTGACTGACTCTAGAATACAGCCGGGTTAGGAAATCCCTAATCTAAATCTGTCTGCATTTAAACTTTCTAATTTTATCAGTTTATTTATAATGTTTAAAAACACAAATGATAATCTCAGTAAATAAATATCGACGAAAAACAATTATGACTATTTTATGCAACTTTTTAAAGATTTAAAAACATAGCAACCAATACCATAACCATGTTATGAAGGGGCCGGGAAAAGGGCATTCTCATATGCTGCTGCTGATCATCTTTGTTATTATCTTTTTGGAGAACCGTTAGCAATTTTATGTATTACAAGTCTGAAAATCCAGGCCATGCTCTGACTCAGCAATTCCACTACTAGGATTCCATTCTAAGAAAATAATTACAAGTGTTAAATTATTGTGCAGTATTGCTTATTATCACATACAACTGAAAACAACAAGACATAAAATTCAATTTAAAAAATAAAACTGTGGGGGTGCCTGGGTTGGCTCAGTCGGCTAAGCTTCCGACTTCAGCTCAGGTCACGATCTCGCAGTTCGTGGGTTCGAGCCCCGCGTCGGGCTCTGTGCTGACAGCTCAGAGCCTGGAGCCTGCTTCAGATTCTGTGTCTCCCTCTCTCTCTGACCCTCTCCCGTTCATGCTCTATCTCTCTCTGTCTCAAAAATAAATAAACGTTAAAAAAAAATTTTTTTTTAAATAAAAAATAAAACTGTGTATCAAATAGAATTACTGTGGTAAAATAGTTGGGCAAATAAATATGGGATTAGATAGCCATACAGTGGAATACTGTGAAGTCATTAAAAATGGTACTATGCGAGGTGTGTGGGTGGCTCAGTTGGTTAAGCATCTAACTTTGGCTCAGGTCATGATCTCATGGTTTGTGGATTCAAGACCCACATTGGGCTCTGCATTGACAGCATGGAGCCTGCTTGGGATTCTCTCTTTCCCTCTCTCTCTGCCCCTCCCCCACTCACGCTTTCTCTCTCTCTCTCTCTTCTCTCTCGTAAAAATAAGCTTTAAAAATATTTTTTTAATGGAAAAAAATTGTGCTGTGAAAGAACTGACATAGAAAAGATGTTCATATGTTGACTTTTAAAAGTTTATACAGCATGATCCTAACTGTCCCCAGCCCATGGTATAGACATTCACACAAACACACACATGTAGAAAGACCAAATTATGAATAGTGATTACCTCCTGGTAGAATAGAGACTGCTTCTCTGTACTTTTCAAATGCTATAATAAACATGTTATACTCTTGCAATTAGAAAATTCTAAAACATGAATAAAAACATACATTTGATTTTAACGCTTTCTGAAATTCAAAAGTAGTCCCAAAAGGTCCAGATTCCTCCAGATTTGGAGTTAACTTCTCAAAGTACTTCAATTATTTACGTATCTTTTATTTAATTAACTAACTTTTGAAGATTTTACTTTTAAGCAATCTCCATACCCAATGAGGGGCTCAAACTTACAACCCCAAGATCAAGAATTACACACCCCAGGTGCCCCTTATTATTTACATATCTTTTTTTAAATTTTTTATGTTATTTATTTATCCATTTTTACTTTAGAGAGAGAGCGAGTACAAGTGGACAAGAGGGGCAGAAAGGAGAGAGAAAGAGAGAATCTTAAGTAGGCTCCATGCCCAGCACCAAGCACAACACGGGGCTCTCCAGCCCACAATCCTGGGATCATGACCTGAGCAGAAATCAACAGTCCAACGATCAGGATGCCTGGGTGGCTCAGTCGGTTAAGTGTCCAACTTCAGCTCAGGTCATGATTTCATGGGTCATGAGTTTGAGCCCACGTCAGGCTCTGTGCCAACAGCTTGGAGCCTGGAGTCTGCTTCGGATTCTCTGTCTCACTCCTCTCTGTCCCTCCCCCACTCACGCTCTGTCTCTCTCTCTCTCTCTCTCTCTCAAAAATATACATTAAAAGAAAAAATTTAAAAAGGAAAAAGAGTCAGGGCTCAACTGATTGAGACACTCAGGCGACCCTATTTATGTATCTTTTCAATGAATATGTAAAGATAACTATAAAATGGACAAATTGAAGCATTTAGTGAGTACCCACTACGTGCTCAGCATCATGTTAGAAATCATAGGAAATATGCTGCTTTTGGGTAACACTAATGACAATCTTTTGGAAAAAAATGAAAAAGTGTAATACTCCTTTAAGAAAGTATCAGAATCCTTAAGTATGATTTTTGTTACTTTTGGGGGATTTTTTTTATAAGAATGTTTTCTTTTTACTTTTTTATAATTTTTTAAGTGTTTATTTATTTTTTAGATGGAGAGAGAGACAGAGCACGAGCAGGAGAGAAGAGAGAGGGAGACAGAATCCAAAGCAGGCTCCAGGCTCTGACCTGTCAGCACAGAGCCCAATGAGGGGCTCGAACTCATGAACCTCAAGATCATGACCTGAGCCAACCAAAGTTGGACGCTTAACTGACTCAGCCACCCAGGCGCCCCTATAAGAATGTATTCTAAAAATAAGTACTGATGGGAAATGGTTCAGGTACTAATATTCATTTTAAAATGTCAGCCTTAAAATTAATCTATACTCTGGTACAATTTTTAAAAATTGAGGGGCACCTGGGTGGTTTGGTCGGTTGACCATCGGACTCTTCATTTCAGCTCAGGTCATGATCTCACAGTTCACGTGCGGCTCTGCGCCGACAGCAGGGAGCCTGCTTCAGATTGTCTCCCTCTTTCTCTCTGCTCCTGCCCCTGCTGACACACGTGCACAAGTGCTTGTTCACTTGTACTCTGTCTCTCTCAAAATAAATAAACCTTTAAAAACATTTTGAGCTTTTCAGCAAAGCAAACCATGTTTCAAATAAAATAGAAACTCAGCACATTTGCTTACTAACTTGGAATTATAAGCTACAAAAAAAGTTTACTCTTTCTTCCACAAAAACAAAAACTCACGACAACTTCAAAGCAAACTATATGCTATCATGAGTTTATTCCATTCTGAAATCATGTTAAATTTACTCTTAGCCCTTTCTACAACCATGTCGATTCTGGAATACATGGATTCTTAGCCACCTTTGATTTCGTTTATACACTAATACATTTAGATGGCCTGAAGGATGCACCAAGGAACTTGATCCACAATTTCTTTAAAAAAGGCTGGGGGCACCTGGGTGGCGCAGTCGGTTAAGCGTCCGACTTCAGCCAGGTCACGATCTTGCGGTCCGTGAGTTCGAGCCCCGCGTCGGGCTCTGGGCTGATGGCTCAGAGCCTGGAGCCTGTTTCCGATTCTGTGTCTCCCTCTCTCTCTGCCCCTCCCCCGTTCATGCTCTGTCTCTCTCTGTCCCGAAAATAAATAAACGTTGAAAAAAAAAAAATTTTTAAAAAGGCTGAAATGACACACTTTAAAGACAAAGATAAATCTCAAAGTAACCTCTGCATTAGCAAAATGCTTAGAACAAAATGAAATTCAGCAGTGGCCTAGGGCTTCTTTTCTAGGAACTGCCTCTGCCCCACTCAAAGCCCCTGCAGCCGCACGTAATTGGTCATAATCCATGCCAATTCAATCAGCGTTTGACCAGGAATTTTAGAAGGTACCTGAGAGAGGGTGTCTACTTCTCCCTCTCTCTCTGGTGGCTGAAGCAATAGGATACAAATTCATGAACCTTTTCTACTTCATGGAGAAAGCCAGCCTGCAGTCAGAGAAATATGGAGCCAAAAGAAACAGAGACTGAATCCTGATGGCACTGAGTCCCTGACCCTAGGTGTTCCTATTCCTAATACCCATCCCAAATTCTTCATTTTGCTTAAGCTTTTTATAGTTTTGTGTCTGTCTCTTGCAATTAAAAGAATCTTAACAACACCACCACCACCAACAACAAAGGAATCTTAACATATATAACCAAGCATCTCTCACTTTACAGGAGAATTGAAATGCTAGCTATTTATTTCCTGACTAAGTGAAATAAAATAAACCAGTTAACCTTTCTGTTTAGACTTTGGTTCCTGGTCTGCAAACAGGACAATAATGATCCTTGTCCTTAGGCCCACAGAGCTCTTCTATGGATCAAATGAGAGTGTACAGACAAACACCCTGTAAATCATAAAGAGCAATTTAAACAATATTATTGGTAATTGTTGTTAGTTGTTGAATTGTGATTTCAAAAGGGTAGCTTAAAAATGTCAATGTGACTTAAGCATTCTTTAACTTATTCAATAGATTTATATTATGCGATTCCTCTCAAGTTGCTTTCACTTCTATGTCACAGTGACATAAAATATACAATGATAACAAATTCTAAAAGAATTTTACAAAAACAGGGGCACCTTGGTGGCTCAGTCAGTTGAGTGTCCGACTTCACCTCGGTTCATGATCTCACAGTTCATGAGTTTGAGCCCCATGTCGGGCTCTCTGCTTACAGCTCAGAGCCTGGAGCCTGCTTCAGATTGTGTGTGTGTGTGTGTGTGTGTGTGTGTCCCTCCCCCACTTGTGTGTGTGCATGCTCTCTCTCTCTCTCTATTAAAAATAAATGAACCTTAAAAAAATTTTTACAAAAACAGACTCTGGGTGTATATTGGGAGGGTATACCAAATGTTAGCCATTTTAAAAGTACATCATCTATTTAAAGTAAATAAAGAAAATAACACTGTTAAAGTACTCTGTGTGAAAAAGAAAACACACAATATGTATATATACATTAGATCTGCCAAAAATTACTTTTTATTAGAGAGAATTTAGAAATATTTTCTGATTTTCATCCAATGAACTAAATTTTTGGAAGTTCCAGAAGGTCCTCATTATTCCTCAGTAGCAACATCATATTGAAGGTCCAGTGTTTTTTATGTTTGAAACATTTTAAAAGGACAAAGAAAAAGGAACAAAAGAATAAAGGAAACACACTAACTAGAAAACATAAAAGAAGTAACCTCTTTGAAACACTACTTAACAATTTTGTTCCTGTTCCTTGTCCACAAGGAAGGAACTTCAAATTTTAAGTGTTTATTCTCAAAAGTAGTTCTGGAAGTAAAAGAGTTAACTAGGAGAAGATAATTAAGAATTCTAAAATCTCCAACAGAAGCAACTCACCTCATACTGAGTCACATCTCTGTAAGAAGGAAAGCTTTCGACTACCAGGTGCATTAACTTCTGAGCGCTTTTTTCACTTTTTCGGACACAATTAAGAAAAGAGCCTTCAAACTTCTCAAGCAGAATTTTCCCGGTTTCATTAAGAATCCGATGCCTCTCTTCTATCAAAGGCATGGGAACGTCCGTGTCAGAACGGAATATGTGCTGAACCTGATCCAGGGTCACTGTGGCATAGTAGGAAGCACTAGTTATCGGGATCCCTTAGGGAGAAAAGAAAATGCAGAGGAACAATGTCATACTTTTATATTCATTAGACCCTAGCTTTTACAACATACAATAGGAGAGCAAATGAGTGTTACAGGAATGCACGAAAAGTGGATGAAGAATTTAAAAATCAGAAGCATTTTTTATTTACTCATCTGTATTTATTCATCCGTTTCTAACAATTGTCATATTACATCAGATGTATTTTGACTGCATAAAATGTTATAGGTGTCCCTTTGTTCTTCAGATGTCATCAAAGTGACATTCTTTAGAAAACTGACTTTTATTCTTAGCTGTGCTGATGATAAACATTAGGATCATTTCTCACTGAGAATGGACTTATAGCCAGCCTCCTCTCACACTTCTATTTTAAACAGAGAAGAACTGCTTCACTTTAAGCAATGAAGAACTTCAAGTTCGCCGTATTAACCCAGACGCTGGACCCGCTCCTTGGGACCCTCCCGCTGAACCGAACCCTGCCTCAGGTCTGACAGGGGGCACCAACCTTCGTCGAGGGCTCTGTTGACCGCGGCGCACAGGGACCAGTACCCGCTGTACGTTTTCCCCCTGTACCCCACCAGACATTTGTGCTCCTCATGCTCCGACCAGAAGGAGAAGTTGAGCGTGTCTGTCACGAACACCCAGTTGACCGCGGCCTCGTCGGCCGCCCTGGGATTCAGCTCGTGAAGGGCCTTCCAGCCCCCCAGGCGCAGCTCGGGCCCCGAGGCCTTGGCGAGCAGCAGCTTGGCCACCCTCCGCACGCCTCCGCCGTCGATGAACACATCCCGACTGTTCTCTGCAATGAATTTTGCAGACTCCCTGGGAGGAAGGGGCCCGTCCATTCCGCCCCTCCCTTTGGGACTGGGGAACGTCGCTTTCACCCGCCGGCTGGCCAAACTCGCTTCCCTCTCTGAGCGGGGGAAGGGCGCGGGTCCCTCCGCAGCTCTCCTTTCCTGCTCACCGTGGGATCGCTGCCCTAACGGGGTACCGCCCTCGCCCAGCCGCACTGAAACCGGACAGGGCGGCCGTGTTCTGGGGCCCCTCCCTCCACCGCACTCCCAGGCTGAACAGCGGAGGCCACGGGGCCGTGCCCCCGGCCGGGACCGGAGGCACTTCCGGGAAGGCTGCCCCGCCCACTCTCGCCCAGGCGCGCGCCTGGGACCCGTTTCCGGTTCCGAAGACCCGGAAACTGCCCGGAGGGGTCCGGCGGGAGCTGGCAGGCAGTTTTCCTCCCTCCTGCCCTGGCGTACTGCTCCGCCATTTTGTGCACGTTTGCACCCTCTCTTCGGGCACGTGGTACTGCGGCTTGGCGCGGTGGCCTGAGTCGCGATGACTGCGAGCGGTGCGCAGCGTTGCCTTCGGCTACGGCCCCTCGCCACTCCGGGTGGGTGACGTGGGGGCAAGACGCCCTCGGCGACCCCCAGCATCCGGGTTCCTGGGCCGCGACGAGCGTGACGGCGCCAGTCGTTGCAGGGGGCTGAATCGCCCCCAGGTTGCGACACGGCTTGGCGGGTCCCCCACAACCCCATTTCCCAGGCACGCCTCTTGTGCTAAATTCCTGGCCCATTTGGAGGCCATGTGGACGTTTAGGATTAGTTGGGAAATTTGGAGAAATGGACGAGAAAACAAGTGTATTAAATTGTTAGGTTAACATTATGTGCCTGGAACTGTGCTTACTTACTGACTCTTTTAGTCCTGGCTGTGTCAAAAGCGGCGGTTGTGTTCCTTGTTTTGAGAGAGCTGTATGGTTCAGTGGTTAGTCCCTGGTGACAGCAGTGTTCTGGGTTGAGATTCAAACCTTTGTTCATCAATCCCCAGCTCTGGGGCACTTTCTGTGAACCAAACTCACCAATGCCAACCATTCAGGTCAAGTATTAGTGGCCCTGCTGAGGAGACATTTTTACAGGAAGTATCGCCTTACAGACCCAAACTTAAAAAAAATATTTTTTAATAGGATGAGGAGAGAGGTACCCAAGTCAGTTTAGTGATGATCTAAATTTGCCTAGTGATGAAAATTTAGTATATGTATTTTCACATAGAACAAAAATGTATTTTTGTTCTTCTTCAGAGACTTAAATCTCCATGGATAATATGAAATGTTCACACCTTGAAACTCAACTATTAAAAATAACCAACAGTAGTCATCTCTAGTTATTGACAGTAAGGAATATTGGAATTGGAAAATTTGGGGAGGATTTGGAATTTTTAAGTTTGACAACTGTGCCCCCAGAGAAGCAGAACATCATCCCTCCAGTTTCTTCATATTGGTAAGAAAAAAACTTTAAGGACTTCACTATGATTTGCTTTTCCAGACAAAGTCACCAGCACATTAATATTGTTGTTGAATAAATGTAAATCTGTTGACTTCGGATTTTTCCTGTCTACCCCAGCAGCTCTAAGTCATGGGAGTCAAAGAAATTGATTTGCAAGAAAAATCTAGCAATCTCAAAAGAATCCAGGACGGTTATATAATTTAGGCTGTTTTCTCTCATTGACCCAACAATTTAAATTCCTACTATGTTCAGGCTATTGAGTTAAACACTGGGAGTAGTATACATGAGTAAAACATGCTTCCTTCTCTCAACTTCTTGTTGAGATAAATTATACATTTTGCGCAGTAGGTGGGTTTATTTTTTTAATATACAAGGTGTTGAGGGGCACCTGGATGGCTCAGTTGGTTAAGCATCCGACCTCGGCTCAGGCCACAATGCACGGTCCATGGGTTCAAGCCACGTGTCGGGCTCTGTGCCGACGGCTCAGAGCCTGGACCCTGTTTCAGATTCTGTGTCTCCCTCTCTCTCTGCCCTCCCCTGTTTACGCTCTGTCTCTCTCAAAAATAAATAAACATTAAAAAAAATTTTTTTTGCCTTCCCCCGCTCCCCAAAAATATACAAGGTGTTGGGAGTACAACAAGGGAGTCCTTACCTACTCAGCATTCTTTCCCTCCTTCCTTCCCAACAGAATCCTGATGTTGTTCAGGAATCCCTCTTACAGCTCACTTAGCTCAGCATCCTGAGCTCCAGGAGTGGTCTGGACTGGTCTAAGGGCAATTTCACCCTCTTGCAGGGGACTGGGTTAGGGTCATATATGTTTCCCAGTTCACCTCAGTGAATTGCAAAGATAAGTGTGTAGGATGCTTCCAGAAAAGCTTTTCCAGGAGAACTTAGAAAGTGATTCATGCTCCCTCTGGACGTGATTGAGCTTGGATATGAGGTGTGAAATTGCTACTGTCCTTTTGACGGGCAACCTGTGTGTGAGGTTAACACACGGAGGAGGCAAAAAGAATAGCAGAGTAATGGAGCTGGAGTGATGGGATTATGTCAACTTGTATTTTTTAAGATTTTTAAAAAATGTTTACTTATTTTGAGGTGGGGTCAGAGAGAGAGGCAGAGAGAGAATCCCAATCAGACTTTGTGCTTTCAGTGCAGAGCCAGATGCAGGGCTCAATCCCATGAACTGTGAGACCATGACCTGAGCCAAAATCAAGAGGTGGACACTTAACTGACTGAGCCAGCCAGGTACCCCTGAATTATGTCAACGTTTAAGTCTATCTCACTTTTGGATCTCGTTATGTGAGTTAAACTTCCTTATAGTTTAAGGCAATTTTGAGTTTTCTAGAACTTCTATGAAAGCTTCCTATCTTACAGGTAGCAAATATAGACATGGTTGCTGACGTCTCATGATCTGGTGAGGAAGGCAGACAATCAAATGGCTGGGTAGTATTGTACTTCAACAGAAAACCAGGCTATAGTGACTAAATAAAAAGGGGATTTTCCTATATAATAAATCCAGAGGTAGGCACTCCAGGGCTGATGCAGCCATTTGAGAATGTCAGCAAGGAACTAGGCTCCTTGCTTTTGGTCTTACTCTCCCTCGTATATGACTTTTGTCTTTATGGTTGTAGGATGGGCATTGTGTCCACAGAAAGGATGATGAAAATAAAAGGGCGAAGAGCCAAAGGAACAGGCTGGCTGAGTTTATTTCTTTTGAAAATCTTTGCCAGCAGCTCTACGCACAGGCGTAGGCTTTTGAAGACATCAAGATGACCTCTAAATACTCCCTAAGCTTGCATTTTCAAGGTTAACAGAGCCTTGATCAATGATGTTCTGTCCCCATCACCTTTCCCTCTACTCCTAAACAGTATCCAAGCTAAACTGTTCTGGTCGTCAAGAAGGCCATCATTCTGAATAGCTACATTAAATGTCAAGCTTTGGCAACAATCACTGCTACATCTTCTGTTTTCTGTCATGATAAGGTATGGCAGAAACTTACAGCAATAGTGAGTTAATGGGGCACTTGGTTGGCTCAATTGGTTAAGTATCAGGCTTAGGTTGTGTTGTCAGTGTTCGTGAGATCAAACCCCATGATAGGCTCTCTCTGAGCTGGAATCACGGAGCTTGTTTGGGATTCTCTCTCTTCCTGTCTCTACTCCTCCCCTTTGCTCCTCCCCAGCTCATTCTCTCATTCTCTCTCTCTCTCTCTCCCTCCCTCCCTCCCTCTCTCTCTCTCAAAATAAATAAATGAGCATGAAAAAAAGAAAAGAAAAGAAAAGAAAACAGCGGGTTAAGAGGTACTCTGGAGGAAAAGTTGCAAAAGTTGGCTAGAGCACCGTATAGACAGTAGACATTGCTAGAGAGGAGGCTGTAGTTTTTCATACATACAGAAGGAGGAATGTAAAATGGATTTTTGAAGATAGGACATCTGTATTATTTTCATTTCCCCTGACTCTATTGAAGTGATCAATAGACTAAAGCCCCAAGAAAGGTTAACAGAAAAGAGATGGTTCACTACTGTGTAAGTTTCCTCTGTTTCTTTTCTTTTTGATTAATCCATTTATAGCATTTAAAATTGACCACTTCCAGGGCACCTGGGTGGCTCAGTCGGTTAAGCATCCGACTTCAGCTCAGGTCATGATCTTGCAGTCAGTGAATTCGAGCCCCACATTGGGCTCTGTGCTGACAGTTCAGAGCCTGGAGCCTGCTTCGGATTCTGTGTCTCCCTTTCTTTCTCTCTGCTCCTCCCCTGCTTGTGCTCTGTCTCTGTCTCTCAAAAATGAATAAACATTAAAAAACATTAAAAAAAATAAGATAAAATTGACCACTTCCTTGAAATTCACCCTTGGCTTCTGGGGCATTATATTATTCTGGTTTTCTTAGTACCATTTGAAGTTCTTTCTCTTCTTATTGTGTGTAAAGTGTTCCATCTATAGGCTTTGGCTTAGGAACAGAGTGGACTCTTTCTGGTGAACACTATGAGTCTTAAATAATTCAATTTCTGTTTTAAAATATTTAGTTATTGGGGCACCTGGGTGACTCAGTCAGTTGAGTGTCTTAATTTTGGCCCAGGTCATGATCTCATGGTCATGAGATGAAATTGAGCCCTGTGTGGGGTTCTGCGCTGACAGTCAGATGCTCTGTCTGCTTGGGATTCTCTCTTTCCCTCTCTTTCTACCCCTCCCCTGCTCTCTCTCTCTCTCTAAATAAATAAACATTAAAAAATATTTAGTTATAATGGAATAAATATATCATCTTCATGATATATCATTATCATTACAGTTCAAAACCAATTTAGAAATTTTTGAACCATGGGTTGCTTTTAACGAGTGAAATGTATATTTCCTACTTAGGAGAAATCACTAAACATCATAAGTACCAGTGCAGAGCTTCCAGCTGATGAACATTTAGAGATTCAGGGAGATGGGGTGCCTGGGTGGCTCCATCAGTTGAGCATCTGACTTTGGCTCAGGTCATGATCTCACGGTTCGTGGGTTCGAGCCCTGGGTCAGGCTCTGTGCTGAATGCTTGCTCAGAGCCTGGAGCCTGCTTCAGATTCTGTGTCTCCTTCTCTCTCTACTCCTCCCCTGGTCGTGCTCTCACTCTCTTTCAAAAATAAATATATGTAAAAAAGTTTTTTTCAGAGA